ATCTACTGCTATATAACCCCCTGCTTCTCCATGCCTCTTCTACACAACATGTGTCCCCTCTTCTTCATGTCTCTTCTAGCATCAACATTGTCCCCATCTTCTTCAGTCTCTTCATACATCAACATGTGTCCCCTCTTCTTCGATGTCTCTTCTACATCAACATGCTGTCCCTCTTCGTTCATGTGCTCTTCTACATCCTAGATCGTGTGTCTCTCCAGCCGTCTATCGCTTCATGTCTCTTCAACATCAACATGGGATCCCACCTCTTCTTGCATGTCTCTTGCGAATCATCGAACATGTGTCCCCCTTCTTATAAGCTCTTCTTGACATCGAACATGTGTCCCCTCTTCCTTCATTCTCCTCGACATCAACCATGTGTCCCCTCTTCTTCATGTTCTTCTACATCAACATGTGTCCCCTCTTCTTCATGTCTCTTCGTACATCAACATGTGTCCTCTTCTCCATGTCTCTTCTACATCAACATGTGTCCCCGTCTTCTTCATGTCTCTCTACAGTCAACATAGGGGGGGGGGGGGTGGGGGGGGGGGGGGGGGGGGGGGGGGGTTCCCCTCTGTCTCCATGTCTCTTCACATCAACATTGTCCCTCTATCCTTCATGTTTCTTCTACATCAACATGTGTCCCCTTCTCTTCATGTCTCTTCTCCATCAACATGTGTCCTCTTTTTCATGTCCTTCTACATCAACATGTGTCCCCTTTCTTCATGTCTCTTCTAATCAACATGTGTTCCCCTCTTTCTTCATGTCTCTTCTACATCAACATGTGTCCCCTCTCTGAGTCTCTCTACATCAGAAGGGTGTCGCCTCGTATCTTTGGTGGAAAGAGAACTTCCTGAAGAGTTTACAGGAACAAAAACTGAAGATTGTCTCGTCTTCTTTTTTGACTTTCCAAATTCTATTAAAAACCGCTAGTATCAGAAAATGAGCTGATCAGATTTTCGTTTCCTATTGAATGTATGCTATAGTCATTTAACTGCATGTTTTGTCTTAGTGAGACCATTAGCTTCCATAACGTTATTCACTGCACCAAAATTGTCGGTATAGTCCCTCTCCCACAACCCTGTATTTTGACATTTGGAAGCCTCGACATCCTAATTTTCCTGAAACTCCTCTAGAGCTCCATATGTGTTCTTTTTGAACAATCTCTCTCAGAGGGCGCGTCGGGGAGGGGTCTCCTTATTTTCATTCTAATAGTAAACAGACAGAGAATCAGATCATCTGTGCGAAGAGCAGGGCTGTAAACGAGGCGATTATGGGTAGAGGTGCTGCAAGATCTGTTGTGTGTTTGCGAACATCAGAGACAGCGCTCTGTATTTATGGTATATCAATGGGCATCCACGAGTAGACCAAGAAAAAGAAATTGATATAGATCAATATTGATGAAAAACAGTGGCTACATAGGGGACTTTTGAAATTCTAACTTGAGACAGTGAGATCTTGAAAGTTTACTAACTTCTGTTCAAACTATTTCTCGCCCCAGAAACAAAGGACAAGCAAACTAAGACAATGGACAGCCCCCCATAGAATGCTCCATTGCCGACAAGCACTCTTTTAATTCGTTTTTGCATTGCGGTAACACTCTTGGAAGATCAGTTTGCCAGCCACCTCAAAGAGAAAACAGAGCACACCAAAACACATGCCAACCCAGCTCTCCCTGTACCAGATGAACCCTCCCCCCTCCTCCCAGTGGAAGGACCTCAATGCAATGCTCAGTCTCCGTGTGTCTACCGCCGGAGACTGCCCCCTCCTCTGCGCTCTCTCGCGCTTCACCCAGCAACAACAACAACAACAAAAAACAACACAACAAACCCTGCCCAAGGCTTAAATCCTTCCCCCGAACACGAGCACAGGCCCTCTTACCCACCGTACTGATCTCTGCACCCCCAACCCCCTTAAATTGGAAGATTTCAAAGCCTCAGAGGCAAATAAAGTAAACACACTGGCTAAACATTTTTGTATCTATATTTTTCCATGTCAACATCCCCCATTTTGAGAAAAAAGGAGGCGTATTTTGAAGTTTTTCGCCCATGTTTTAACTACGACAGGTGCATGCTGGCAGTGGTCGTTTCTCTGTCTGTCGTCCTCAGACAAGAGCTGGAGACGCACTCACCCACTTGCTTCTGCAGCTGAACTTGTGTGTGCGCGTGTGTGTGTGCGGAAATGAGGGGGTTACAAGGGGGCTTGAAATGCTCTCATTTTTGCCCATAATAAATATACTGTGTCTACATAGCTGTAACTGCCAAATCTCACGCAAGATGACTCAGAATACAGCTACCATCTACTGTTTCATAGCTTGTAAAATACTGAAATATAAATATTTAGTTCTTTTTATTAAGAGGCTTTGAGCAGGCTCAGCATAAATATAGTAAGTCACTGCGGAGGTGTAATTTGAGAGATATATATATACACTACTTTTTCAGCAACTGACCGGAGTTTAGAGTTATAGCAGTAACTGTGCCATGTTGGTATGATAGCACTTCCCAACCAAAGCGTTGTTCAGAAGGTGAATGGAGCTGAAGAGATGAGAGATTATTGATTAAACCGTGAAGTCACGCCCGATTGGACGAGAGCTTTAGGGACCTCCTTCACACATTCATCTCCTCTCATTGGCAGTTGTTTGCTCCAGATTGACACTAACTCCCATATACCTAACTCTTTTTTTCTTCTGTTTAATAATACGATATTTTTCTTGTACAATTATTGACAGTATTAATCTTATTTTTGTATTTTCTTACATGTTATACCATTACTGTATGTTAGTATTCTTCTAGGCATATGACATAAAACATTATTTCCCACCTCCCAATATGTGAACAAGCACATTCTTTTCCTACAGAGTTGAACTACACCATCTATCTATAAAGGTTACCAAATATGCCAAGCTCGACACTAAAACATTGTGTGATGAGGGCGCTTTCGAGCCCTTGTTTCTGCGGTTTCTATGGCAACGGGCTGCATTTAAAAGCCCAGAATGTTATCTTTTTGTGATGTTTGCGGATGCCAATGTTGCCTGTATTTATGAAATGACACCATGTTTTCAGAAAACTAACATACTTAACATGTTTACAGAGAATTGTTTGCTGTATATACATATAAATATATATCTTTTTATAGTTAATGTGCTTTGCACAATCAAGATATAGGGTTTGTTGCTTTCTGTCTGTGTTTTCTCCCTAACTGTCGCAGCCTTTTTTAAAGAACTCGTTACAGACCTTGGACTGTAACTGTTAGCTTCTCAGCTGTGTCAAATGGTTTACTAGTGGCTTCTACAAAAAAAAAAAAAAAAATGTTGCCCTGATAGACGATATGAAGGGGACTGCTTGGCTTATGTTGCTTCTTGTTCTCTTGAGCTGGCAACTGAATCTTTCCAAGTGTACCAGCAATGCAAAAAACGAATAAAAATGACTAGCAATTCAAATGTGTCTTTGTAGTTTCTGTTGAAAGGTTGCTCACATTTTATTTTTCTTCATCGTGTGCATTGATACCAACTGAACCAAGACACAGCGTAAATACAAAATATTTTTAATGTTCAACTCATTCAAAAATAACATTTTCAATTCACAGAATTTTCCATATAACGAAGAAATGAAATATAGCATGTCTTAGGTATCTATTATGCATAACATTACAGAAAACAACATTTTGTGCGATTCCCATGTTTTCTACGACCCTCCTTGTCCGTTCACAGTTGACATCGAGGTTTCATTAGACGTCGACTGGAAACAGAAACAATAACAGAGTATTAGGAATAAGCAAATAGTCATTAAACAATACCATTTATATCATTACTGTGTTAGGTATTAGTGAATTGTGAAGCTTGTCTTTACATTAGTAGGAGGAGGCGTGTTGTCTGGGCTGGCATCAGCGATGGTGGCCAAATACACAATGTTTCGGTGCAGGATCTGTTGATATCTGTTAAAATAAAATCCGCAGCTGAAAGTACTCATCAGAAACGACACAGATAACAATACTCGAGAACTGTGCTCATGTGCAATTTTGAGATACTTGCGTCTTACAATGTAATGCACTTTTTACTTGGCTCTAATGTTCCTGGTTGATGGTTAATTGCTGATAGATTTTTTAAATATTTGATAAGCATATTAATTACAATTCATTGCTATATGGTAAAGTAAACCACACAACAGTACAGAGTACACAAATGATAAAAATGTACTTTATTAGTAGAAGCTATAATCCTAAAATACAACTAATATGTTTCTGCAATAATAAGAAACTAATATAAATAGTGTGACGGATACAAATTTGCACACGGAGTATGTATACACTATATGTACATTTACTTGATAAATACCTTTACTTATAACAGTAGTTTGTTTACACAACTATTGCTACTTGTATTCAAGCATATCTGAGGATTTCTTCCAGTACTGATATTTATAATCCAATGATATAATATGTTATAATGTAACTACTTAAAATAACGTTTGGCTGCATAGTGGGTACACTTAGGTTTAAGTAGATGATCTCGGTTCTACTAAAACACCTTAACTCTAGGATTAGTTTGACTTACTGAACACACTCCGCTGCTCGGCCTTTCTGCATGTATTCAGTGATGCATCTTATTAACTGGTCGTTTTCATCCAGCAACTGTAAATCAAAACGAAATATATAACAACGTTACCCACATACCAGAAGATAACTATGAATTATAATAGATGTTAGCAACAGTACATGATAATAAATCCCCTGTGTTTATAAGCTCACATTTTCCCACCGAACAGCACTAATTAATGCTGGTTTCGTTTTGTATGAATTGTAAACAACTAAGTGGTGATAGCTAGAGGCTACGGGGAGCTAACAGCTTCGTTTAAAAACCCTTTTATGGGCGTCTTACCCTCTGTATGGTTTCTTGGTTTACTTTAGCCTTCCCTCGTAGTTTCTTCGGCACAAACACAATCGACATTTTGTTGTAGCTGGTGTTATTTGTATCACTTGTTTATGTTTGCTACAGACCGACCGCTGTTTCCTCTTCTTCTTCGCGCGTTTTGTTAGAAGGCAGAGTTAATCTTGATGTACTTCCGCCACCTGCTGGAGAGCTGCAGTATAGCAACACAACACTCAACCCTGTTTACTATTTACTTAGTGGCTTAATAACTCTTGAGAAATTGTTAGTATAATAAGGATATTGTAACTTATTAAAAGTAAAAGTAATCAACGCTTTATTGCCCATGTGACTGCTATAATGAATTATACACATTAAAAGTACAAAAAGCTATGTTTGTCCAACCAATTGTTGTACATTTTAACAATCAAAAGGTTAATTCAAACTATTAAAAAAACGGGGAAAGGAGCTTATCAATGCATTTTACACTTTATTTTGTACATCAATAGTTTCAGAGAATATGAGTAATTCTAAGTCATTTTAGTGAAGTTAAACATACAATATTCCACTCTCAAAGTAGAAAGTGGCATGTCTTTTTAAGCAAGCACCACATGCAGGCTTCATTTATTAACATATACTAGTCTAGATACACTTACAATTACCAAGCACATTGTGTCCCTGGAGGACAACATGTTGAACCCTCCATGAACCGCCCTCTTGTGCCACCATCAGGCTGATTCATCAAAACTGACCCAGGAGCAGCAGTGAGCCCTCAGAGGATCCCAGTATTATCTGTGCACCTATCTATGCTATGTTTAGGCAATAGCATAGGTCTCAGATATATACAAATATATAAAAAACATGTCTATGAAGTGTTTTGCTCAAAATACAAAACAGATCTGATCACCCATTCTGCCATGCTTCATATCCCTCTATTTCACTTCCTGTTTCAAAAGTGCTGATTTTGGGAATAAAGCTTTAAAAAAAATAAAAAAGGAGGGGGCTGAGCTCATGCGGGACCCGGCAGCTACTGTCTAAACTAAATGCTGCCGTGATGAAACGCCATATCATGGATTATCAAGGATTATTTCTGAAACAGTATGGAGCTCAAAGGCTTTCTCTCTTGCCGGTTATACCACAAGGTGAGTTCCTTTTTATTTCCTGCTTCTTCACACACATGCTCTCCAGTACAGGTTAGCTCTGAGTGTTAGCCATGCTAATGTAAACACCGACCATATTACGTCCAAAACAGTCGGGCATTGTTTCTGATAGGTCCGTGGGTGTAAAGCCAGCCTACATTTCCAATATTACGTCATATCGGACGCAAATCTGGATCAGCTCCGTTGTTCCCCCGTTTTTAGAGATTCGGGTACGGAGGAAAAGAGAGAGGGTTTTATTTTCTGATTTTGGCCGCTACAATATCAAACAGTTAACAGAAACGTGCACTATTTGAACTATTTGGTCTGGTTCTGTACCGGGCCAGTGGAGGAAGGCTCCGTACTGCCGGGAAACGTCTCGCAGCCAGAGGGCCTGTTCAGTCAGCTGGTCCACTGCCATCCCCTGGTCCTGGTGGTTCTGGTTCTGGTGGTGGTTCTGCAGCAGCAAAGAGGCCAGCAGCACCCAGGGCTTCAGCACCATGTTCTCCTCCTGGAGCCGCACCAGCTTGTAGGCCGAGTCGCTCACGAAGCTCTGGACGTCCTCGCCCGGCCTCGCGGGGATGTGTCTGTAGACGATGGACATCGAAAAGTTACCGCCTCTTCAAAAGCCACACACANAATTTGAACAGTATCTTTTTAACTGTTGATTACCCTGAACGTATAATTCAACTGAAAAACCAATAAAAAAATTAATTTAATAAATGATACATTTAAATAAATAATATCAAACTAATAAATACCAATAAATAAGATCAACAAATATTTTGGAGGGCACTTCCATAAGACTACTAAACATATATAAATATGATAAATAAAAATAAATTAGACTAAAATGAATTAGATCAAATATGTTCTAGTGTACTGTCACAACCTAGCAAAGCTAAATAATAGTTGTTTTCGATTATGTTGTTTTCGTAATTGTGGCAGGCCAAAATTAAACATGATTAATTGCTCAGCCCTAACACACATACACACTTTTTGGCTAACACAGTTCTGTGCTGTTATGCTGTTATGTTCAGTCATTGTTCTTATGTTGAACATGAATACATTTACTTTGTAAGTAATTATGGGACGTATTTCTTCTTTCATAGCAATTTTCCTTTCTTGCCGTGAAATAGGTCTTAAATTCTATTCGAAGTGGTCTTAAAAAGTCTTAAATTTGAGGTGGTGAAACCTGCAGGAACCCTGATTAGAAGTCCATACTATCAGAAAAACATCTCATAAAGACATGCCGCTTGGGAATACGTCTACCCTAATGGTTTCTGGACTTTTCATTAGTCCTTTATAGCAATGCTCGAAAAAGTTAAAATCATTGGAAACAACATTGTAGGAAACATAAAAATGGCTTTACGGCTGTTCCAGACACGATCAAATTCCCCCGTCAGCTCAGGCTATTTATTAAAACGAATCGAATGCACAAGGTTTGTTTTTTTTTTTCCTTTTACAATGTGGTTCAAACTTAGTGTGGAAATGTTATGTAACTCTTACTCGTCACAGTATTCAGCCTCAAATAAATACAGAGCTTGTTACCGCGTCTGTCTGCCTGTCAGCACGGTCTGGTGGAGGTCAGGGTGGTGTTTTCCTCATTGGATGAAGGTTGGGATGTAAGATGAGCTCATGGTCCATGGAGACGGATTTGTTCAGGTTGGATGGCAGCAACATCTAACAAACACAAGCTCCAGCACTGACACCAGTAAACACCTGCTCATCCAATTTCCCCGGGACTCATCCTCCAAGTCGCCTTTTCACCACAAAGCCCGGGAGGCCTGCCCTCTCTGCCCTCTCATGCTTCCACAGCTGCCCTCCCTTCTTCTAATTTGGAGATTAGATCCAGGTGTGGTCGATAGGATACTACATCAGCTGAATGGGGAAAGCAGATTTTCTGACTCGTGGCGACGATGAGGCCGCTCGCGATGAATGAGGAGGAATGAGAAGCAGATGGAGCGAGGGTGAAAGCTTAAATGTCAACATGAGCTCAGTCTAGTCTTCCGGATGTGGTTTGTAATCCTCGCACTTAAAGTCCTTTTGATTCCATAGGGATTCTTCTTTTTTTTTCTCCCTCTATACCCCCAAACAACCAGACCAAGTTCTAGGAGTTTGAGCGTGCCCCTTTCATGATAGGGATCAGCTTTCTTTGCTTTATAAATCTTAGTGTTTACTTAGTTCCAGTGATGATGCGTATACACGGCAGTCGTGCACCCCTTTGAAAACAATTTGTAGCTGTGCCAAAATTAGTGATATATCCAGTTCTCAAGTGGGCGTTTGAGTTGTAAATTTGCTAGGCTTAGGGTTAATTTGTTTTCACACTTTGAGTTTCCTCTAGCGGTTCATTCGGCCCTTACCAAACACATAGAATGCTTCATATGTGCAATAATAGCGTTTTCTGATTGGATTTAAAAACCATGTAAGTGCAACTTTTATGTAAGAGAATGGGAAATCGGGTCACGGTTTGTTTGTGCTGCCAGGAGCCAGACACTGCATTTATCAGGAGTCGTCTGGACTGCACATTTCCAATGAGGCCCCCGCACAGTAATTCAGGAGGTAAACAGGACCATAACCGAGGGGAGGCTGTAAAGAAGCAGCCTCATTGTCACCTCGTCCCAACCGCCCTCCCCCTAACCCCTCCTCTTGTTGTGCATGCCTGAAGAGGTATTTAGGCACGCCATTCCTCCCTTTCCCTCCCCGCAAAAGAATAATTGGTGGGAGTCTGTCTGAAACAGCTGTGTACCCTTGCCTCAGAGAACTTCCTAAGTCCCCCCTCCCTCATTTTACCTTCCCACTAATAACAGTTCCCAAAGAACATTGGCTGTCAAAGCCCGAGAAATCTGCACATTTTCCGCCGCATCACTTGTGTCCTTGTTTGTCCCTTTTTGCTGCTCTGGATCATGTCTTACTGTTTTCCATCCCTCAGGGTTCTCGCTGGTCATGGAACGTCTCCAGTGTCCCTGACTTTAAAGAAGTGTGGTCGTGTTATGAAAAGTCAGGGAACTGGAAGTTTAATAAATGTGTCAGTAATATAGGGTCATACACCAAAAATACAGGAATATTGGAAAAACCTTCTTAGGGCATGAATGTCTTCTGGTAGTTTGGGGGAATTAGTATCAAGGACATGGCTGGAACCAAAACTATCAGATCACATTCAAAATTATTGTTTATCACTTTTATACAATTCCTCTCCCTTTCTCTAAATGTGCGCAGAACTTTAGGATTGTTTTTGTTCTTTTGTTTGATTCTATTTATTTAAATGTTGCAGATATAATCTATATAATCAACATATGAAATAATTTGAGGACATTCCATCCCAGGATCCTCCCAAGATGAACAAAACGGTGACATCAAAACCAAATAGATTTATAAAAGACATACTGAACAACAATTTCATTAAGATGATGATATAGGTGATAGAGAATAAACACAAAAAGAGAATATAATTCCTCTTTGGACTGCTGCGATGTTGAGGTTTTTTTTTTATCAATACATTTAACATCCACAACATACCACAGCATACCTTCACACGGTTTCTTTCAACAATTCATTTCCCTCTCCTCATAAAACACTTGGCATTCAGCAGCAGTGCATCAAAACATTTCGCAACACAGTATGCATCTACTCCTAGTGTCACAGATGAAAACTGCGTGTGCACCAAGCAATAACACGTCTTGGTTCATTTGTAAAAAGTGTTTTTATTCCCTGGGTTTAGTCTAATCCCGGCTGGTCCTGATGCGAGAAATGTTTTTGCATTCTTATGTTTTAAAGGGAATTTCAATGTGGCCATTTGTTAGCTTTACTAAAGAGTGCCTTTGGAGGGCAAATCATGTAGGTCATGGGTGAACTGTTTTACTTATGTTAAGGTTTTCTGCAACTTCAGAAGCTAACTAGCAATAGCACCATCACTGCACCATTCAAACAGTCACACATCTTATTGAAAGATCACATTGTAAATGTTTTTTTGTTTTTATTTCCTGTAGTGTATTGATAAAGCAAGAGACCTGCTGGATGCTGAGCTGACGGCCATGGCTGGAGAAAGCTACAGTCGAGCATACGGGGTAAGTGTTAGCTAAAATACTCAACTCCTGGCTTTACATTACATCACATACAGCTAATGCCCAAAAAAATAACATAACAAAAAAACATGAAGATACAAACTCCACACATAGCATGTTTGTTGAGTGGTACCTGCGTTCCAGCAGTCAGGAAGTAATGAGTCGATTGGACAATGCAGAGTGATGATTTAACAATGTACTAGATATGAATAAAACAACAGTTATTAAAGCGATAATTTATAAGTATTTATACATTTTTAAATCTCAGATCTTGAGAAGTCAAAAGCTTCTCCGCAGCCACATGTCCCTATTTTATTTTCTATATACAGTAATAAATTATCCGAGGATAATTTCATATAAAATAGCAGCTCCTCTCTTGCAAATGTTGTCAGGTAACATCAACATAAAAGCCATTTGATTCTTGTTGATTTACATTCGGTGGTTACAAATGGCAGCCAAGCGGGAAGATGACCAACCCTTTCTAACAGATGCTACACGACAAGGTCCAGTGGGTGGCTAACTGCATTTAATTGCAGCTCCTGATGAATTGACAAGCTTTAATGATCCTTATATTGCACAGAAGGGGCTTTCGCAACTGTAACAATGAATGTGTTAAAATTAAGGATGCATGTGTTTGTTTTGCAGGCCATGGTGTCCTGCCAGATGCTGTCAGAGCTGGAGGAGGTGATCCAGTACAAGCTGGTGCCTGAGAGGAGAGACATCATCAGGGAAACATGGTGGGAGAGGCTTCAGGTAACTGCAGTGCATAATATGAGGACACAGGCTTTAACACACACACAACTTCAAATGTGTAGCAGCTGTTGGGAAAGGTTACTGCTTCTAACGGGAATCATTACACCTTCAGTGTTGGGTGTAACGCGTTACAAAAGTAACGGAGTTACAGTAATATATTACTTTTTGCTGTAACGAAGTAATGTAACGCAGTACTAATGAAATGTGGGTAATATATTACCCGTTACATTTCTCAGTAACGCAGTTGCAACACATTTTAACCCGAAATGAAATGGTGTTTTGTTTTTTAAGAATTCCCTAACATCGTGAGACATTCCGACACCATAGAAAAATTGTGCGGGTAGATTAGTAAGCCTGGTGTTTTCCCTTCAGGCTCATCAAGATCCCTCCGCTCCGCGTCGGGTTCCCTGATCAGCCTGTCGGGTGTGCTTTTCCCCATAATGACCGCCTCGCTGCACATTATCCCGCTTATTGCACGGCCATATACTAAACAAACTACAGAGCCCATTCCGTGTTCCTGTTATTGTTTACTTCCTGTCTGCCTTCTTCTGGTGATTTATCTGACGTCCAGCGCTCCGTCTTTTAACCTCTTTCCCTTTCTCTTTCTTGATCCTCCTTAACAACCTTCATTATAGTCCTTGACAGTGGTCTGTACTACTGGATTAACAACGTGTCACATTTACAATCAGAATCGAGTATTCAACTAAGCCGTGTAATAAAAGTTAGCATTAACAGAAAGGTTAATGTTGTTGTTGCACATCACCTCACCGCATGTTTCTTGATTAACTACATACATACAGTTGCAAGAAAGAAAAAAAAAATGTGAACCCTTTGGAACTACCTGGATTTCTGCATAAATTGTAGGGATGCACCGAATATTCGGCCGCCGAAAATTATCGGCTGAAAATGGTTAAAAAGGCTCTTTCGGCTCTTTCTTTACGTTGGTAAGCTAACGTGTTGTTGTGATGACGTAATCAAAACGCGGCGACAAGCACGGCGCGCGACCATGCTCGCGGCTCACAGCCAACATGTCTGCCGCTTAGAGATATTTCAATCGCGCGCCGTGCTTGTCGCCGCGTTTTGATTACGTCATCACAACAACACNCGGAGGGTCCGCCTACGAGTGTGGAGCGGTGTGGAGGGGGAGTGGGCTATCAAGCCCTTAAACAGCGAGTATGCAGCGGTGCTGACTGGAGACCGGTCTCTACCTGACCGGTCTAAACATCCACTGATAAACTGCGATGTTAACAACCTCATGATAACCTCATATGTTTTAACTTAGGATGATACCTGTGTTTAGTCTAGAAAAAGGTAAATGTGTGCATTTCATTATAAAGTTGTGTATATTTACAGACCGTTGCAAAAACTAAGAAGCTTATAAACATCAGGTTTAAAACTAAAAGACAACACAATTAAAGATGTTTGGAGTTTTATTTGAGTTATTAATTTAAAATTTTTTGTCAAAGAGACGCTGATTTGAAACCGTTGTTACATACAGTTACGGCATTTCCTGCTTCTGCCAGAGAGAGGGGAGTTTGTCCCAAAGCTTGCCGCTGTATTTACTCCCTCCATCTGACGGGAGGGAGCCTCATGTGTCACTCCACGGAGTTCACTCCGTCACGGAGTTCACTCCGTCACGGAGTTCACTCCGTCACGGAGTGGGTAGGGTGTAGGGCGTGGTTTGGGATTGGGCCTCCCTCATGGACTTATTCTGGTGTGAACGCGATCTGAACTCAGTTCATGAGAACTAAAGAGTTCTCATGAACTGAAGTGGGAAAAGTACTGCGGTGTGAACGCGCCTCTTGTTTACTGCATTTCATCTTGAATTTAGTTTCCCGTGACATTAGATCTCCCTTAATCTGTAGCAACTCATAAGATAAGACTTTACTTATCCCGAAAGAAATTGTTGTACCAGAGTTATAAAATAGAATAACACAGCAGCATAATAACACAACTGGACACTAATGGCTCGTTTCCATTACAGTTTAGTAGTTGGGGCAGTAACTATAGTAACGCAGTGTAGGCGGAGCCGTGACGTCATCTGCCGTAAAGAGAGCAATTAAATATCTACAGGAAACATAGACGGTCACATAATTAAGTAAACATTAGTCAAAATGACCACTTAGGTTGTACTTTTTTTGAGGCATGTTTTGTCCCCCTAACTGAGTCACATAGTTTCATAGAGGCAAAAATAAAACGTACTTTAATCATCCTCTGATAAATTCACTTTAGTTCAGTGACATTAAATCTGACCTCTGTGGCAACCCATCGTGTAAAAATGGCCGCTTTAATCTCCTATAAACCTATACACACACAATCAACAGACACATTAAGACATAAATAAAAGCACAAGTAATCAATATAAACAAAATAACACTCACTTCGATATATTTGGGAAATGTACATTAGTGCCAGACTGTCCATAGCAGCGTGGAAAGGGTCTGGTGCTGGATTTGAGATACGCTGCTATGGACAATAAAAGATACACATATATGTGAACATGGCTTTGTAATTATATACTCGTGGCAATGTTAAAAGAGTTTGGTTGTGTGGTGTGTGTCCCAGGAACCACCCTAACCTGGCAAAGCCCCAACCTGTTTGAATTATAACACTATTTAACCAAAATCAGTTCAAAGTGAGAACGTTTTAACAAATACTTCACACGTCACCTGTACAGAAAGCCATTTGTTTTTTGTATAGTGTCAGAGTGTGTGTTAAAGCCCCCCCTTGTACGTGTCTGAGTTATGTTTTGTCCCCCTAACTTGACTCGGATCTATTTTTCTGCGTTCCAGCCAGCGGAGGAACACCTGGGCGGAGGAGCGGCGGATGAACTCTGAGACGTTCGGCATCCCTCTGAGGCACAACCGAGGACGAGGTGGTTTCCGCGGGCGAGGCTTCATGGGGCCCCGCGGCGGCAGAGGGCGGCCCCTCAGCCGAGGCTCCTTCGCGCCCCCAAGAGGACCCCCCCCGGGCTTCAGAGGAGCGTTCAGGGGCGGAAGAGGAGGCCGGGATTTCTCTGACTTCGAATACAGGGTAGGGAAACGAGCTTAGACATTTATTTATTTTTTTATTAGTCCATTTATTGAACGTGTTAGAAACAAAACAAACTATAATTATAACAAATCAGAATACCTTTACTCGGGGACATTGACGTTGTTACAGCAGAAACAGCAGTGGGGTGTGTGACGTAGTGTCACGTGACGTTGAGTTTAGAATTGAGCCGTCCCTTATAGATACTATCTCTTTACGTATGCACACACACCATTTTGAATTGCGCCGTCCCTTATCCTATCTCTTTACCGTCTCCCTGCCGACAGGGACACGCCTGTTGGCACGGTCCTTGGAAAATGCGGCGGTGTTTTTTTTATTTCCGTCACAGGAACGCGCTTTGACTCCTTCGCCCCTCCAACAGAGGGATGTCCTTTTTCCTTTTCGTCATTTCAAATGTTAAAAACTCTCGATCTCCTCTCAAATGATTTATTTTTGTGGACGCCCTCGGCTCGAGTTCAGGGCGTTCCGAGCTGAATAACAACGTCAAATGACGGCAAGACGCCCCCCTGGTGAAAACGCTGGCAACAACATTACAATCATGTAACAAAAGGCCAGCAAGGCAAAACCAAAGGCTGGGGATATCATGTTGTTATATGTATCTATGAGCTATTGTGTGGAGTTTTGTATCGAGTCCATTTTCCCCACTTTCTGCTGAGTTGTGTTTCTGTGCAATCTCAATTCATAAATAAATGTATTTTAAGTTCAAAAAGGAGATAATGTATGGATTTTCTAACCTTTTAATTGTTTTTCTCCACCAGAAGGACAACAAAGTGGCTGCGTAGGACCACACCCCATTTGAAAAAGTGTATCCCTTCATCATGATTCTGTCGAAAAATATTCTTTGGTCTCAACATTTGACGGAGAGAATGAAGACATCCAGTCAGTCACCAGCAGCGAGGTGGACTGCGTTACATCAGGGGGGGGTGGGGGTGAGAGTGCAGCTCCCTGTTCTCCACTTTGAGAATTAGGCTTATCTTTTAGTTTGTATTACTTTCAGCCCAGACGTATTGTTTTGAAAGCAGCGGACGGACGACAGCGTGTGAATACCTTGCTTTGTGTCTGTTTTTGCACCGATGGGAGTTTCTCACAGTCATGTGATTGATAGCTTTATTATTTTTACTTAATTTTCCCGTCGTGTACGTTGGCACCAAAATTCACTGCATTGCCTGTCGCACCGCGGTTTCTTTCTGCCCCGACTTACTTCGTTCGGTCGCCACGATTTCAGTATTTTTTTTTTTTTTTTTTTTAAACATCCATTATTTCTAAGTGAAATCAAAGCCAGCTTAAAAAGAAAATCTGAAGTGAACATTGTGATGAATGTATATCTGAGGCTCATATTCTACCCCGGCAAATTGTGGCTCGCCCTCCAGACTCACTCGGTGTTTTATTTTAGAAATGTTCCTTCAGTATTTAGCGTTTCGTAGATCATACTGTGACCCCTCCACCCTCCAGGTGAATAATGTCTGCTTCATGTTAACGGTGGTCCCCAATCGGTAGGATCAATGGGGTCAAGCTTTAGTAAGCATTCGTAGTCTTTTTTCTTTTGACCGGGTCTGTCTTTTTTTTATATGTATAGTTGACGAAACAAAGCATTCCCATGATTTGTGTCTGTGAAAAGAGGAACATCCGATACTATAAATGCCTTTAGAAGTTCTTAGGAGACAGAAATAATTGCGTTATTTCAGATTTAAACCTGCAGAAAGACCTTACAACGAGTCAGATTTGGGAAGAAATGCTCCGCTACATTGCCAAATAAAGCATTTAATTGAGAGATGATCATTATTAGACTATACGTCCGAAACGTATCGAGCCATCTCTTAAAGCATGTTCCCTTATTCCGTTATCGGCTTCCTTTGAATTCTCTCTAGAGTCGTGTCACCTGCTGTTATTCCTCTGCAAAACGGATCATTTACTAAAAATGGGAAACCCTTGTCTGTGATTTGAACGATGTCTCGAAACGTATCTGTTCTGCCGTTCCTTGGTTTTGTTTGTAGCTCCTCTTGTTGCATTGTTGTGAATGGCATTGTTCTCTGGAGTGATTTCTGTTTTTTACACACTTGTGAACAAAGGGACGTGACCTGGATGTGGTGCCAGTCGATTGGGAGGGGGGGGGGATATAATAATAATAATAGTTCTGGCTCTGATTCGTTAGTACTTTAGGGAGTGCCTTCACAGTGGTGGATTTTTACAGCTCTCCCTTTAACTTAAAAGTCAACAAACGTATTGATAGCACTACAAGGCGAGGCTAGATCCTTCTCAGTAGCTGTGGTTTGAAACTAAGCAGCCCTGTTTGAAAATATTAAAATGTGCTTTTTGACTGGATATATATTCCTGCTGATCACTGCATGACGGCCGTAGAAACCATCACTTCACACGGGGCTTTCGCAATAACCAGCAAGATTGAATTTGAGATAGAAAAAGTATTAAAAACTGACATGTTTTCATATGTTTGTTACTCCTTCCAGTCACTGGAATTGTGAACCAGGAATTGTTTTCATGAGAATATCAGCAAATTCAGTTTTTACGTAAAATAAAGAGTTGTACAATATTCATGTCTCTGGTGTTTTTATTGTAATGTTCCTTGTCTGTCAACAGAACCACTACTTATGCACTGTGTGTTTCTCCAAGTTTTCCTTTCAAATAAAACCCAATAAGCGGGATAATGTACATGTACACACATTATCCCGCTTATTACAAGGCCTCATCCTCAACAAAGTAACGACATCACTCCCAATATTGATTTAAATGCTTTTATGGATTTAAAAAATAGTTGTATTGATTTAAATTGACATGCATCCGCTAAGAAAAATAGTCCGTTGTTACACGTAGCAACGGTAGGAAGGCGGAGCTTTTTGATTATACATATAGATTTGAAAACATCGTTGGTTGCTTTAAAAGTAGCACAATTCATTATGTCAAACCTTGGAAAGTATCTAGATATCCCTGCCCTAATGCCAAAGGAACTGCACACTGAATATGTTTGGCCGTGTGATGTCTATGTCTGGGCCGCTGCGTAAAAAGGAGGGTTTCTGCCCCGTTACTTCTCCGCTGTTTTCTTGTCCCAGTTCGAAAAGCAAACTGCCAAACTGTATACAGTTCAATCGACCGGACTTCTTTAGGCAGATGTGAGCGTCCTTAACAACGGTCAATAAATCCTTGACAGCGGTCTGTCTGTTCTGGATTAACAACGTGTCACTTGTTCTGAATTGACCTATTAGAATCGAGTATTCAACTAAACCATGTAATAAAATCTGATAGTCAAGGCCACAGGATGCTGCAATCCCTTCACAACCTATTTTCTCCGTATTCATCCTTTTGTTCAGAGTAGTGACAAAAGGAGATATAAAGACATTGAGATCAAGTCTCTGACGGGGCAGGAATGAGTTCCTTCAGCACCTTTTTGTGTGTATTTGAATACAATTCTGTTGATATTAAACGTACGTGTGAATGTACACGTACGTCTATTTATTTATTATTATTTATCCAACTGTAACTACTTCCAATATTCAGTATATCCCCAAAAAGAAAGCATACAAAGGCTTTTTTTTTTAAATCCCTAACTCACTTGATCCAATAAACCACTTTAGATAAATTCAGGATTTTTTTTTAGGATGGTGGACTCAAATATAAAGAAACATGTGGAAAACAAAGTAATC